CTCTTACAATATTTTTAAAATTTTCGGATTTACCTCGCACCTCACTTCTTTGCTAATTTCCGAAGTATGTGGTATGTATACAGTACGGTCTTCTATAAAAACTGGGGTACATTCCGGTTGTTATTGATGACCGCGCTCTAGGCTACTCAAGCTAAAGTTTAAAGGACATAGATCACACACAGACAGAAGTTGTGTAAGAGGGACAATTATCAGAAAGGAAGCCCACGTTTTCCCGGGGGTTGACACACATCTACGTCCACTCAGTCACAGGGCTATTAGAGGAAAGTAGAGCTAAATCGCTCAATCACCACTGTGGATTTCGACCTAACTTATTTGCTCGGCTGCCATTCCTTCTTTTGTACTGCTACTCATCCCGTTTTTGTGTGTCTTTTCCACCCGATTGCCTTATATTATGGATCAACATTAAATTCTTAAACAGTGCATTCTATTTTCCACGAAAACACTTATCAACAACAGTTAGGCATTTTTTTGTTCTTTTTTATACGTTGCTAACTTGTAATGTTTCATTTTTATAGATTTTCTCTTTGAAATCTGAAGTAGGCGCACTTGCTGCCCCACTAGAAAAGGTAATCCCCCATAGTCTCTTAGAAAATTTGTTCTCGTCATGACGTCCGTGCCAGGAGAACCTCTCGTTAATAACTACAAAATTCCCGCTTGGTAAAGGAAAATTCTGCTAATATCCACCTCATAGGGCGGGGAAACCTCCTACGGGCTTACATCTTGATGTCATGAAGGAAGGAAAGTTGGTGCAGGTAGCCAAAGTAACATCGAGCTTTTCTTTATGTTTAGTTTTGTTTGCATCTGGCCACATTTTCTTATTTATAATACATATACGTAGTGATCTATGAGACGTTTGTCAAATTTTCCCTTTCAACTACCTAAGTCCTATCTTAACCTATGTAGACTTGTGTTCCTCCCGTGCATAACTGAAAGTAGTTGGCTTGGAAACTCCCTGTGCCTGCTTAAATGCACGCGTACGCAGTAATATTCAATTGCTTATTTTTCATTTGTTACAGAAACTTATGATTGATGAA